TCTCTCTCTCTCTCTCTCTCTCTCTCTCTCTCTCTCTCTCTTTATCTTCCTTTTCTTTCTCTCCTCTCTCTCTCTCCCCTCTCCTTTTCTTTCTCTCCTCTCTCTCTCCCTTCCCTTTATTTCTCTCCTCTCTCCCCTTCTCTCTCTTTCTCTGCCTCCCTCCTTTCTTCTCTCCTCCTCTCTCTCTCTCTCTCTCCCTCTCCTTTCTCCTCTCCTGCTTTCCCTCTCTCTTGCTCCTTCTCCTTTTAGCCCTCAATCGTTCCATTTATAGATATTCATTCATCAAAGATATACTATGACCTCATACCTTGGATGGACTCTATTGAGAGACAAAGAAACATAACACCAAAGTCTTGCTGACAGAGAGCTCAGAGACTGTCAGGGAGGCACATGTTGTCCTGGAAATCAACACAAGATAGCATGGAACTAAACATAAATCGTGCAAATGCTACACCAGTTTGGGGGCAGGGGTTCAAGTGAGGGGATCAATGTGTGTTGGGGTACTGAGGGCAAGCTTCATGAAGGAGGTGGAGAATTTGAGTTAAATCTCCTCCCTCTTTGTGACACCCCTTTCCCACCGATGTCCAAAGACCCCAAGACCTCTCCTTTGGTACAGACATACATGGACTAACAAAATGTTAGCTCTAGAAGGTCTCTTAGAGATCCTCTACATCTAGAGTCATAGGATTTAGAACTGGAAAGACCCTTAAAAATCATCCAGTGATCAGGCCAATCCCCTCGCTGAGGCCCAGGGAAGTAAAGGGATTGGGCCACAAGTAGTAAATAATGGAGCCAGCATTGGAACCCAGCTCTTCCCATTCCATACCTAATGCTCTTTTCATCCCAGTGATGCTTCCCAAGTCTAGCTCAACCTTATGGAAGGGGAAACTGAGACCCAGAGAAGGGAAGGAACTTGCTTAGGTTTGAATAAAATTAACCCCAGAGGCAGAACTCTATCTCTTGACTTGCAGTCCGATGAAGCTTACTGGACAAGTCGCTGGGGCCTAGGCCCCTCCGGTCTCCGTATCTCCCCCCAGGACCTTGTGTTCAGGACTATGGCCAACGCCCCCCCTTCTGTGCCTCTGTAAAGATGGGAGGACCTGATAGCCCCCTCTCTTACACACCCTGATTGCCACCCCCACCCCCACACCATCAAGCCCCTAGCCCTTTTGCCCACCAAGTCATTGTCTCTACAAGAGATAAGATGACTCCACCTCTTTGGGAGGCCTCCTCTTCACTGGCCAATGGCTATGGGCAGCTGTCCAGCTATGTTCTGCCCCTGGCCCTATAAAAAAGGACCATCAGGAAACAGAAGCCAACCTAGGTTTTTCCTGAGTTTTCACTGCAGGAATAACTTGAGCTCACCCTTGACACAACCATCATGTCTCTGACCAAGTCTGACAAAACTATCGTTGCCTCCATTTGGAGCAAGATTGCCACCCAGGCTGATTCCATTGGCACCGAGGCCTTGGAGAGGTAAGTGTTCTTACCCTAGGACCTATGGCCTATCTTTTCACACCTGTACCTTGGAATTTGGGGAGGAGCTATTCTGGGGAGTGTTAAGGAGCCCAGGGACAGGGACTTTGATAGGGATACCTCAGGTTCTTTTTATGAGTTTCAGGCTAGCCCTAGCTCAGAACAAGGAGGGCACAGAACCGTATGCTGTCTTGGTCTTATAAAGCCTTGAACCTTAGTTTAGGGCTCTGCTTGAGATCACTTCTAGGGAATCAGGACTGACTTCCACATAAGGATGGTGAAGAACAAGGGATAATTTATCTAACCATGGACAAATTTCCTCTTAACTTCCCTAGGACTGGGTTTTTTCCCTATTTATAAAATGAGGGGTTTAAAAAATGATCTCTCAGGTACCTCTACCAGTTTTGTCATTCTCTGTTCTTATAGAGTATCTCTTTATAAACCATAACATCAGACCACAGGTAAAAAGAGCTTTCAGTGCTATGAAGACAAAATGTACTGATTGCTGTGTTGCTAATACAATAATTTTAACAATCCCTGTGGCCCTAAGGCCCTTAATTATCAGACCATAGAAATATTTTTAAAGTCCTTCTAATATATCTTACACTTTCTGATTCTATCATTCTAAGCTTTATCTTCGAAGGTTTCTTCCATCTCTTGCATTCTATATTTTTACTCCAAAATCTCTACCAGTTCTGACATTTTATGCTCTCGAGTTCTATGTCCCATAGCACTTCATAGTACTGGAAGTATTTTCTTTGCAGGCACTTATGAAGGAGCTAGTATCACTATGGTTATTTACATTTTAAAGATGGAAACTGAGTGAACATTAGAGAGATGAAGTGATTTGTACAAGGTCACAATAAATAGTAGATCAAGAACTAGAATCTTCATTCCTTACAGTCTCTGCACCCTTCCCTTAGACCCAGTTAAGACTTCACTCTCTCTTCTCCCCAGACTCTTCACCAGCTACCCCCAGACCAAGACCTACTTCCCCCACTTTGACCTGCACCATGGCTCAGCCCAGATGCATGCCCACGGTGCCAAGGTGGTCAGTGCTATTGGGGACGCTGTCAAGAACATTGACAACATTAAGAGTGCCCTGTCTAAGCTCAGTGAACTCCATGCCTACATCCTCAGAGTGGACCCTGTCAACTTCAAGGTGAGGATTTGGTCTCAAGGTATACAGTAGAGGTTATTACTGTCTGGGCCCTAGAGAGAGGTAGTTGATCTCCCCAAGAAGTAAGAACCCAATTCATGAGGAATCCATTCCATGCCCCTTGTTTCCTAGAGTCTCACCCTCTCTACTCCTCCATCCCCTCAATGTTCTACCCACTTCTTTCTTCCATATCCCAGTATCTCACTTCCTTCTGTCCTCCCACCCCTCAATGTTTTACCTCTTTTCTCTTCTAAACACTCAATAATTCCCTTGTTTCTCTCCCTTGTCTCCTATGTCTCATCCCCTGTTCCTCTAATCTCTGATATCTAACCTGATTCTCCCTTTATCCCTTCAACTCCGACCTTTACCCCCTACCCAACAGTTTTGTCCCCTTCTCACCCTCACTTAACTAATTTCTTGCCCCACTCATTCCCCTAATCCCCCAATTTTTCACTCTTTTCTCTTTTGTGTTGGCAGCTCCTATCTCACTGCCTCCTGGTCACTGTGGCTGCCCACTTCCCTGCTGAGTTCACTGCAGAGGCCCATGCTGCCTGGGACAAATTCTTGTCCATTGTGAGCTCAGTCCTGACCGAGAAGTACAGATGAGCCTTCTGGACCTAAAGCCCTGGGAAGACAAAGGGGGCTTCACTGTCATTGAGCACTGGAGCTTCATCTCACCCTTTTGTCCCTTTCCATGCTCTCACTTCCCCAATACTGTTCTGTCCTTCATGACACTCTAATAAATGGATAGACAAATGAAGTCTGAGTCTCTGTGTCCATTTTCCTGGCCTTTTTTTTTTTTTTAACGGTTTCTATTCCAAGGAACCAATTAAAAATAAGAGAAAAATCTCAGATCCTTTGGGAAAGAGAAAGTAAGGGGGTAAGATAGAGAATTAAATTCAGAGTTATGGTCACGGTTAGGACACCTTAAATCAAGCTTTACCAATGGTTTTGTTGTTTTTTGGTTTCTTGGTTTTTTTTCCCAAGGCAAGATCAAATCCACCTAACTTAGTAGTGGTTACAGAGGGAGGGACAATGTTTTGAAGGGGAATCATTGATGTTAAGGGGGAAGAGCAAGAACAGAGAGCCCAGTGGGGAAGAGATCAGTGGACAGAGCTAGGAGATAAGGACATTTGGACAGAGAACCATAGACCACAGAATGTTAGAACTGGGACTTAAAATATAGAACAGAGACTATCAGTGCTGGAAGGGACTTTAGAAGAAAGAATGTCAAAACTGGAAGGGGCCAATGAATTGGGTGGGACAGGAATTATTATTCCCCTTTAGTTTTCTTATCTGCAAAATGGGAATAATAATAATAATTGTACTATCTACTCCATAAGAAGAAAATTTCTTTGTCATTCATAAAGAGCTATATAAATGTGAGGAGTTAAATAGCCAACTCAAAGTCCCCTAAAAGTGACCAAACAGGGGGCTTGACCAAGGTTTCTAAATTTCAGTTCCAATTCTCTTTCCACTGGGAGGATTTAGGGCAGGGAATGTGTATTCCAATCCAATACTATTTATTTAGCATCTACTTTGTGCATGGCACTGTGCTAGATGCTAAGGATAGGAAGACAAAGCAAAAATAGTTCCTGACCTCGGGGAGTTTCCATTCTTTTGAGGGGATACAGGTTTAAATAGACAACTAATTCCACAGGATAACTTGAGGAGGCAAAGCACACTCACATGGGCTTTCAGAAGAGTCTTGAAGGAATTTAGGAACTCCAAGAGAAGCGAGAGTATTGCAGGTGTGGGAGAGCAATATTGAATATTGAATTCAGGGAACACCGAACCAGTGTGGCTGGAACAGAGGCTGCATAAAGAGGAATAATGTGAGATAAGCTTACCAAGACAAGCCACAATCTGACTGGAAAGGACTTCAAATGTCAAGCGTTATCCTCGAGGCAACAAGAAGCTTCTCACTACTCTTCAGCAAGCAAGTACTGTACAGCCTTAGGAAGATTGTCTTTGGCGGCTTTGTGGAGGAGAGCAGCTGAAAGTCTAATGAGGAGGCAGTGCCAGTAACCCAGGTGAGAGAGAGTTAATGAGGGCTGGGCTATTGGTTGTGTGAGAGTAGAAAAGGGGACCAAGGAGAGATATGGAGAACGTTGTAAAGGAAGAATTGGCAAAGCTTTGCAACTGATGGGCTATGGAGATAGGGAGGTGAGAGGGAGGGAAGATGCAGTGATGGCTATCAAGTGTCACACCTGAGGCCCTGGAAGAATGGGGGTGCTCTCAAGAAAAGGATGGGTTGGGGGAAAAGATATTGAGTTTAAGTAACCATGAGAGTTCTCTTATTGCCTTTATACATGTCCAGACTCTAGTCCCAATTCTGACTGACCCTTGGCCCAGAGTAAGGCAAATTTGGGTAGGACAGCAGGACTAAAGATGGGATTAGGATGTTTTCAATTCCAGGCCAAAGGGCTGAGTCACAACGTAGGGACTGTAGGCAAGGGGAAAGTTTCAGGTGGGGAGAGAAGTGGCCAAGAGATTCTCTCTGGAAAAGGTTCTATTTGTAGTGTGGGTTGTGGTCTTGACCCCAGGCCTGGGAAGTGGGGATGCCACTTTTACCTTTCCTGTGAGAGGCCAGGGCCCAGAACCAACAGTACAAAGATTCCTTGGCTGAGGACTCAGGACACCTTAGTCCTTGCTGTATTGGTTTCCTGTCTACATGACCCCAGGCAAGTCACTTCTCCTGTCTAGGCTTCCATTTTCCCATCTCTAAAATGGAGATGATAATCAGACTTAGTATGAAGACATTACAAAATAGAGTGGTTAGACAGAAAAGCGGTTGTACAGACTTTGCGGAGGTATGGTCTGGACTTGAAAAAATGGCATGTGGCCAACTGCTTTGTAACTACTACAGAATTGTCTGGGGCACTGAGAAGTCAAATCACAGCATGTTGACCCAGTCAACACGTGTCAGAGGGAGTATCTTCCAAACACCAAAGGCAGCCCTCTAGTCACTAAAGAGGATGCCCCACTATACTAGATATGTGATACATCCATCCATCCATAATACATATATCCATATTTATGCATATATAATATTAAATATATTATTAGAATTGCTAAAGAATTTCAGCACTGTAATAAGGGATTTGAGAACCCAGAATGTTAGAAGTGAAAGGGCCTTAGAATCCATCTAGTGCAACCCTCTCATTTTATAGATGGGGAAACTGAGGCTCAAAATAGTCAAGAGACTTAATGCCATCATTTGATCGTCATGAAAGAGTAGCCAATACCTCTCCTACTTTTTATTGGAGGCTCCCAATAGTAGGGCACATTTCATTGTTCATCTATTCTCTAATTCATTCCTTCACTAATTTATCCGAGATTTATCAATTTGATCATTCATTCATTTATTCATTTCCCTGGAGCATAGAATGTCCAATTAACTGAGGATCACTGTTGCTTTAGTAAGGAACTAAACGCTTCCCCCCCCCCCTCCGGGAACCACAGCAGGAATAAAGTGGGTTCTCTGGAGCCCAGAAATGCATTAGCTGGGCGGGAGTGTAGAGGTAGGCAAGCCAAGCTTGGCGCGGTAATACAAAAAGGGCTCTGACAGCGATCGCCGCGGGCGCGGGTTCGAAGCCATGTTCAGCGCCGAAGAAAGGGGCCACATCGTCCAGATTTGGAACATCATAGCTGGCCAGGAGGCCGTCTACGGGACGGAGTTGTTGCAGAGGTGATGCTCAAACAGGGGTGGGGGAGGGAGTAGGGTGGGAAGGGGAGCGGGGCGAGGGAGGGAGCGAAGACGGCTCTCCCCCAGCCCGGGGGATGAGAGGGAGGGGCCTAGGGACACGAGGTTAGTGCCCCAGATGATCTTGGTTTGGAGATGGGGGGACAGTTTCAGTAGTGACTGCGAGGGAGAGCTCTCTCAGGGACTGAATGAGGGGCTGGAAAAGATTCGGGTTCAGGGAGGAAGGGAATGACCCTAAAGTGACAGAGGCCAATGGCGGGGGGAGGGAAGCGTACCCAAGGGAAGAGAAAAGAGAAATGAAAAAGAAGCCCAAGGTCTCCAGACTGATGGGGAGGATGCGGCTAACCAGAGCTAAAGGGATGCGCATCAGGGGGAATGAAGAAAGGGGGGTTGTCTCTGGGAAAGGTTTAAAGTGAGCCAGGTTAAAGCAGCTAACCTTAAGGAAGGGAGTGGACACTGGGGACAGGCGTTCCGAGAGGGGCGGAGTCTGACCTCTAGAGGGGACCAAGCCAGGGAGAGTAGAAAGGAAATCGTGGGGAGACTGGTCGGCGACCCCACTCCTTTTGCTCACATTCCACGCACAGGTTGTTCACCGTATATCCCAGCACCGAGAGCCACTTCCCGCACTTGATCCCTGGCCTGGAGCGAGCCCAGATGCAGAACCACAGAGAACAGAAATTGATAGCCGTGGGCGTGGCGGTGGGTCACCTGCGGGATTCCCTAGGCTGTCTGGCTGATCTGCACGCCTAAGTTCTAAGGGTGGAACCGACCAATTTCCAAGTGAGCCCAAGAGCCCTTCTGTCCATCCGTCCATTCAAACATTACCAGCTCACCAGCCACCCTGACACCCAATTGCCCCATCCCATCTACTCTTTCACTTACTTATCTATGAGCCCATGCATAGGACAGACACTGGAACTGGAATCTCATTGGTAAGCAAACAATTGCCACCAATGAAAAACCAGCACCAGGGGCAGCTAGGTGGCGCAGTAGATAGAGCACCGGCCCTGAAGTCAGGAGGACCTGAGTTCAAATCCGAACTCAGACCAAACACTTGAAGCGTACTAGATGTGTGACCTTGGGCAAGTCACCAATTGCCTCACTAAAAAAAAAAAAAGGGAGAGAGAGAGGGATAGAGAGAAAGACCAGCACCTACTCTCTGTTTTTGAGGCAAACCTGGTTATCTGACTTGCCAGGATCACACAGCTCTGGGATGTCTGAGATCTGGGTTTGAACCCATGAAGATGAGTCTTCCCCATTCCAAGCCCAGTGCTCTATCCACTGCACCACCTAGCTGCCCTCCATGTATAGTCTTAAGATAGTTGCCCCTAAAGCAATCAAGGGTTGAGTGACATACCCGAGGTCAACCAGTATGTGACACAGGTGAGACTAGAATCCACTATTCAGTGCTGCTTCTCCATAATTATATAGAAGCTATCCATAACAGAACATGGTAGTAATAAAAATTAACATTAATATAGTGGCTTACAAAGAGCTTAACATAGATTTTCCTCATCCATCCACTCATCTAGGAGCTCAGCATGGGGAAATCTTTGTGTGGAAACTCCTCCCAGGAAGATGATTGCCAGACACCATCTATGACTTTAAATAAATTCTAGCTAGTTTACAGAGGCACATAGAGGTCTGTACCCTTATCTAGGGTCACCTGGCTAATAAATGTGAGCAGTGGGATTTGAACCAGGGACAGTCTGACTTTAAGCCCAGCATTATGCCATAAACTGGCTCAATCTGGAGGTTTCAATTTACTCCAAAAAGGGGTGGGGCAGGACTCTGGGCCTCTTAACTCATAACTCAGTGCTCTTTCAACTCTACCACACTGCTACTGATAGCAGGAAAAGTCTTGGCCTTGGGCTCAGGAGACCTAGGAGGAGTCGAACCA